ACCCCTTTGACACTGCTTGTAACTGACTGGAGGGATATGGCAGAGAGGGGGTTTATGCCCAGAGAGGACTGCCCATAGGAGGTGCCAAGTCTTTTTCTGCCTGGTGTCGTACTCCTCTAGGTGGGGCTATAAAACCCTGTTTGTTTATGGATTAAAAAGAGAGGCTGTGTCCGTCAATGAACATATAAGAGAAAAGCAGCTGCTGACTTGGTTTTGAAGCTGCTGGTTCTGCAGCTGTCATTCTGATCCTGGCCTCACTATTTTAATTGAACTGGAACAAGCACATAGTCAGTAAAGTCTGAACTGCTCTCCTGCATACTTGTTCTCTAGTTAGTGAAGCCAGGATCATGACAAAAGCCTTAGAGCTTGCACTAACAAGTCAGGAATGGCAGTTCTCATATTTCAATCATCATGGGCATCCTTTAAAAGGTTAGTTCACCTTTACCAAAAAAATGCTTATGCAAATAAAGGGCATTCCTGATATGTGCCCTTTGTACCATGTACTTGTATGAAAGCGTATCCTGTTCTCTTTGTATTGCTTCCTTTGTGTGAAATCCCTGGTGTTCCTGCCAGTCCCTCTGCTTTCCTATTAAAGACTGACCACAGTAGGGATGGGAGTACACCATGGTCAGTTCTCTAGATGTGCTGGGAACTCAGCCTGCTCCTGTCACACCATCCCTGCATTGCCATTCACTGGGAAGATCAGTGTGCTTCTGTTTCGCCACTCCTAGCTCTTATGCAGCTAAGAACAGAGGAAATGTAATCATTTATAAAAAATGTGGGGGGGGGGGGGGGGGGATGTATGTAATTGTTCTTGTATCTATGCATAAAGGTTTTACCTCATTTCTATTTTGATGTGAATGGGTTGGTTTACAATCAATCACTATAAATAATGCCTGTACTATAGGTGTAGGCCATTTATGTACAACATGAAGCCTGGCTGGGAAATTTCCAAGACGTTGCTAAGGATGTTGCTATGATGCTCCCAGCTATTACTGTTCATCCCCACCATCACCAGAGCAATCTCTCAAACACTGAGCTCAAAGCTACTGCATTAGGGAAGAGAGCTCATCTGGGGAAGTATAAACCAGAGAAAGCGCTCTCTCCTGTAACAGTGAAGGTGAGCAGTAACAGCTGAGCGTCAATTAGCAACATCCTGGGAATTGTTCAGTCAGGCATCATGAGGTGTGTAAATGGCCTACACAAAGCAAGGGCATTATTCAACTTTAATCAAAGCTACATAATTTGTTTTGATCTACTCACATTCCTTATCTGCTAATGCAGTTCTTTGGTAAAGGGGAACTATGCCTAGAATAGAAATAAGAATAATTTCTGCTGTTGAAGGAAGTGCAGAAAATGCAACATCGTTTGCATTCCACAACGGTTTTCTTGGCCGATCCTCCTGCTTTAAGTACCGTATTTGCTTCGGGGCAGAAGCAGAATGGCATTTATACAGCAAGTTTGAGGTTTACATGGTAGACTGATCCACAAAGTACATCAAGATCAAGGTCTTTCATTTGTCTCTCCCCAACTACCCAACTGTTTTTCTTTTTCAATTTGTGAAATGATTGGTAAAGTACTGCAACTTTAAAAAAAAAAAAATACATTTGTTCCATTTTTCAGCAGCCCCTGGAAAATGAATTTCATGGGTTACCTTTTCTGACGTTTCAAGCAAGATGGATTGCAGCCTTCTGGCTCTGAGCACTTCCTGCTGTGCTCTGAACAAAAAAAAAAAAATCTGCTTCTGGGAGATGGACTGCTCATTTAGCTTACAGGAGAGCAGATCTCCCGATAGTTACACAGCACTCTAGTGGTGGCCAGGGACAGCTTGGTTACAGCAAAGATGGATGCAAACACAGCCAGGCCATGCTGCTGGAATCAGGATTTATCTTCAGAAAAGGTCACCCATCATATTGGCATTTTCCTAGATTGCAGGAAGAAGAGCAAATGCACAACGTTTAGTGAAAGTGATGCTATACTTCAAATTATAACATTTTTATTTCACATGCAGACCTAACACTATTCCTTCAAGTATTTATGACAAAAGGAATAATAGAGAAGTTTTTTTTTTTTTTTTTTTAAAGGCCTTTGCCGAAACAATGCAAAGTGCAGGGTTAGAAATTAGGTACTACGACACCATTGAACTGATTTAGTCCGTCAAATCATAATATCTTAAAACAGTCACCCTTCTCCTCGGGCATAGTTTTAAACCATGAAGCATAGAATCCTGTTACTGTCCTGCATTTCACCCTTAGCAATGTCTAGCGCCACGTTTAAATGGCACCTCATTTTTTTTTAATTTTAAAACTAAAAAAAAAAAAAAAAAAAAAAAAACTATACCCAGTCAAACCCCATGATGAATAATCTGAAAAGGTCACCAACAGGGATAATCTGATGGTGAAAACAAAATGACTGCGGACTTTACTCCAACAGGAACCTTTACATTCCAGCAAAGCAGTATGTGTGTGTGTGTGTGTGTAAGATAAGATACTACTTACTTGTCAGCAGCATGGCATATAGTACCACATGTGTCAGCCATGTCATCAACAAGAATTGCAATGCGATCTTTCACATCTCCAACTAATACCATCCTGTCCACCTCATTCGCTTTTTTCCTTTCCTTGTGGATTAAGGCAAACTCAACATTCAGTCGATCGGCAATGGATGTCACCCTGTGAAAACCAGAAGTGTTGAAAGAATAGAAAACGTTCCATATGGTGTTAACATATCAAACATTCATATATCACGTTGGCAAGGTAAGATGCATAAAAGTGTATATTCTCGTTGGGAGAACTATAGTGGAATCAGTTTCTGATTTGACGTGTGTGTGTGTGACCCCAACACACACATACATTAAAAAAAAAAAAAAATAATAATATAAAAAAAAAAAATTTCGCCACACATACGCCTCCCACCCCCACAAGGAGCTATCCTGCTGTAGAGATCAAGCAGCTATAAATAAAACAAATACATATATGTACTGTGGCATGTTTTCGCATTGCTGAAAACTGGACAACTTAAAAACAAACTGAATCTATCTTTCCCTGTGATTAACATTCTGTTTTACTTAAAAAGAAAGTGCAACAAAGGTGCAAATGTGTATACATTCTTAAAATGTATGTCCAGGTTGCATTTTTATTGTGTTTATTACATTGTTCATTTAGTACATTGTGCAATTACAATACAGGTGCCAACGATATGCTGGACATAAATTTACGGTGCTACAATACAATAATAATGTAAGACCAGACAGACATTCTAAACAGAAGTAACACACTTCTGGCCAACATCTAGCAGCTGACAGGCCAGGCAGCATGCACAGGCCCATCCAGGTTGCATTTAACTAAATAGTTTATTTGAACCAAGCTTTACTATTACATGTGCCCACTGTCAGCACTGTATAAACTGTGGCAGCAGCTAACAGCTTGTATTATCAAAGGAAACCGTTCACTTGGACCGGCTTGGTCCAAACAAACCATTTGACGTTAAATGAAACTTAGAGTTAGGCTTTAACCACTTGATCCCTAGGCCAATTCTGATGTTTTTCTCATACATGAAAAGGTCTTATAACCTCCAAACATTATATATTATTTTAAGCAGCGGCCCTAGAGCAGGGGTCTCCAAACTTTCTAAAGAAAGGGCCTGTTTGCGGTGCTTGAGACTTTATGGGGGCCAGACTGTGCCCAGTGGGAGTAAATAATGCCCGATCTTTGGGTTGGTGTCAGTGGGTGAATAGTGCCCTGTTTTTGTTGTCATTGGAAGGAATTATGCCCCACTGTTGGTGTCAGCTGCAGGAATAATGCCTCAAGGGCCAGATAAAGGCAAGCCAAGGGCCGCAGTTTGGAGAACACTGCCTTAGAGCATATTTGCACAGCAGTTTTTCAAACGCAATTTTTCTGGAAAAAATACACTTTAATGAATTTTATTGAACACAAACATAATACCCATTTTTTTTGTAAAATTTAAAAGATTGTTACGCCAAGTCAATACGCTATATATATATATATATATATATATATATATATATGTACAATAGTATTGAGGTTGTTAAACGGTATCTAAACTTTTTTTTTTTATTGTTTCTCGTTTTGAGGCAGTAGCAAATGTTTTTCTATACTATCTGTGTACCATTTGGGGGGTTACCCTTCACTTCCTGATGACACAGTAACAGTAAAGGCAACAATAAAAGCTTGTCAGATGTTGTAACACTTCTTCATGCAAATCAGAATAAAAAAAAAGTGGCTTTAGATACACTTTAATATCAGCTGAAGATCTGAACCTCTATACCAGAGTTATTTACAAGAGTTATTTTATTTACATTTTAAAAGGAGAAGTTCATCTTTGGGAATATGTTACATGCTCCACCCATTTTTAGGGTGGAACATGCAAACCTGTTTCCCACTGCAGCAGCACACAGCCCGCTGCCCTCTCTCCCCGTGACAGCAGTACAGAAAGAAGTTCCCTGTACTAGCTGTCACTTTTTGAAAACAGTGCAGCTGTGCGGGGCTCTAACTAGAACTACAAGCACTGACATACTTTGCGGATGTCAGCTTGTAGTTCTCAAAGAACTATCACAGCACTGTTGAATGCTGTGATAGTGGAGTCTTCCTGTCAGTGTAAAGCTGTCTGCCCGTACGAGGTGTGAGTAGACAGATTACAATGACAATCTCCTGAAGTCCTGCATGGCACCAGTGATCTGCTGATCATTGGTGCAATGCTTTGCTGGCTCACATATAAAAAAAAAAAAATATATAGTAATTCACATTTTTTTTAACCTGCAAAAAAGAAAAATGGGCATTTATTATGTTTTTTTTAAAGTAAACAAAAAAAAAAAAGAAGACCATAATATATTTATATACATTTATTTATTTAACCGCCTCCCGTCCGCCATAGAAGGTAATGAAGGGCGCAAGGCGGTTCTCGTTCATATGACGTCCTCCTCCCACTCTAACCACGCATGCGCAGCTCCGGGAGCGCGCAGCGATCGGTGGTGCGGATCACCGATCAACGGAAAGAGCCAAAGATGTCAGCTCAGTAATGTGATCAGCTGTGTCCAATCACAGCTGATCACATGTAAATAGGGAAATGTCGGTTATCGGCATTTCTCTCCTCACGAGCTGTCACACTGACAGCCCGAGGGGAGAGGAGAGCCGGTAATCGGCATTACGCAGAGAGGACATGTACACTGATCATCAGGGCACTAATGATCAGTGTGTCTGATGATCAGTGTAGCCCCAGCAGAGCCACCTGTCAGTGCCCGTCAATGCCAGCTGTCAGTGCACATCAGTGCCTCATCAATGCCACATATCAGTGCCTACCAGTGCACATCAATGCCACATATCAGTGCCCATCTGAGCTGCCTTTCAGTGCCACCTATCAATGCCGCCAGTCAGTGCCACCTATCAGTGCATCAGTGCCACCTATCAGTCATGTGCTGCCATCAGTGATGCCTGTCAATGTCCATCAGTGCCACCTACTAGTGCCTCCTCATCAGGGCAGCCTATCAGTGCCCATCACTGCAGCCTCATTAGTGCACATCAGTGAAGGAGAAAAATCACTTATTTACAAAATTTTATAACAAAAACTAAGAAAACGTTTTTTTTTTTTTTTTTAATTTTCAGTTGTTTTTGGTTTGTTTAGCAAAAAATAAAAAAAACCAAAAAGGTGATTAAATACCACCAAAAGAAAGCCCTGTCTCAAAAAAAAAAAAAGAGATAAAAATTTCATATGGGTACAGTGTTGCATGACCGCGCAACTGTCAAAGTGCGACAGAGCTGAAAACTGGCCTGGGCAGGAGGGGCGTATAAGTGCCCTGTAGGCAAGTGGTTAAAGATACAATCATGTCTCAGAGGTCTACGGACAATTCCTTGGATTTCATGGCTTGGTTTGTGCTCTGACATGCACTGTTACCTGTGGGACCTTATATAGACAGGTTTATGCTTTTCCTAATCATGTCCAATCAACTGAATTTCCCACAAGAGGACTCCAATCAAGTTGTGGAGACATCTCAAGGATGATCCGTGGGAACAGGATGCACCAGAGCTCAGTTTTGAGTGTCATGCAAAGGCTGTGAATACTTATGTACATGTGGTTTTTTTCGGTTTTTATTTTTACTAAATTGCAAAGATTTCAAAACAAAATTCTTTCACTTTTGAAATTATGGGGTAATGTTTGTAGAATCTTGAGGAAAAAATGTAATTTAATCCATTTTGGAATAAGGCTGGAACATAACAAAATATGGCAAAAGTTAAGCGCTAAGAACACTTTCTGGATGCACTGTGTTTTACCCAAGGCCCCCTGAAGGATAGTTAAGTGTATGTGTAGACACCCCTACATGTATGAAATTTACATTTGGGATCAAATATACTTTGTTCAAATGCATGTCATGTTTTTAAAGCACATGGTCATATGTGATTATCATGTCAATATAAATATTACTAGTCAAGGTCTTTGCTGGAAACAGAGAAAAATTTGAAATAGATTCTTTAGATTTTATTGGTTTAGTTCCACTTTGATTGTATTAGTTCCAGATAACTCCATTGTAGGTCAGTAGGTCTCTAATCCCAGAATAATGATAGTACCTTTTGGCACCACCAGCATCAGGAGATACAATGATGCAGTTCTTCCATTCAGGGATGTTCTCCCTAATCCATTGCAGTACTGCTGGTTCAGCATACAGATTATCTACAGGAATGTCAAAGAAACCCTGAAAAACACAAAATGAGATACTATGCCACACATTTACATAACAAGACAGCAGAAACAAAAACAGCAGCAAGTTTATTCAAAAGAACAATGGGCACAAAGCAAACAATCAGAATTAAGCTTTCACACAGATGAAAATGTATAAAGCAGTTAATCTGACATTTATCAAACATTCAATTCAGGTGAATCTTCCTGGTACATGGTTTTAAAATGACAGTGATTGATGCACCACCAATAAATTTCTGTTAAAGTCACATTCGCTGCTTTATAAATATGAACCGTAGTGTTTCCAAAGATACCAAACATCCCTGTTTAGTATTTTGAGGTTCCTGTAATGGCTGTAAAAAAAAAAAAAAAAAAAAAAAAAAAAAAAAAAACACAAAACATTGTCTTCCACCCAAACTCTCAAAATACATACAACAACCATCTAGTGATGGTTATGAACCTTTCAAAACTGTTCACTGCTCTGTAGCTGAAGAATGCAAACCTCTATAGGCAAGATTAGATGGTTAGATCTCATCTGCAAATCATAGGAAATATACAGGGAAATCTTGATTAATCTGCCGTGGAAATGAAAGTCTGGTCATATCATCTGGCACTGCATGTAATCATTGTAAAGGCATATATACTAGCTCTTTTATGATCTAATGGGCAGCACAGTGGCTAAATGGTTAGCACTTCCGCCTGGAAGTACTAAGGTTGCTGGTTCAAATCCCAACCACAGCATCACCTGCCTGGAGTTTGCATGTTCCCCTGTGCCTGCGTGGATTTCCTCCGGGTACTCCGGTTTCCTCCCACATTCCAAAGACATGCTGCTAGGTTAATTGGATCCTGTCTAAATTGGCCCTAGTATGTGTATGTATGAATGTAAGTTAGGGACTTTAGATTGTACACCCCTTGCGGGTTAGAGACTGATGTGACTTTGCAATATGTATGTAAAGTGCTGCGTAAATGGACAGCGCTATAAAAGTATCTGAAATAAATAACCTGTAAAACCAAAAAAATAAATTTGTCTGTTTTGGCTGTGCAAGAATATGTCAAAACCACCCCATTCTTGTGATGGGTCAGACTTTTGAAAGGTATATGGTAGACCTCAAGACACCTTTGCAAGGCATTTGCCAACTATTTGTTTTAAACATTTGAAAGTAAAATCTAAAAATGTGCACCACTTTAACTAGGGTCTTGACTTCTGGGATACACCTGCATCTTGTCCAGTAACAGTTTACTTTCCTAATGGTATCTGAAGCACTCTCATTGGACAGGAGAAGAAATGTTTGTTAGGACTCAGTCTCAAAGTCAAACCCCTAGTAAGACTATGAAACTGAAATAAAGAAGCACCCAGAGGGTGCTTTGTCTGGCTAATAAAAGATAATAGCCGTCACCTTGTCTTAGGAAGCACTTTAGGTAGGAGATTAAAGATGGCGGTGTGCCAGTAAAAAATGCAGTACAACATGGCCATAAATGCAACAGATTACACAAAATATTTAATACAATTCTGTCTCTCTCTGCCCCAGTTTTACATTTATAACTAAAAGTTTAAATGTGGTCTACATTTGGATCATGAGAAAATCAGCATAAAGGTTTTCCCTGTCACCTCAATATAATGGTTGAGCTTTGCACATTTGCCCTATTCTGGCTTCTGTAGTCAAGGAACTGCAAAACACAGTAGATTTCCAGCTTCATAATTCACACACCTCAATTTTTTGAGCTGCCAAAAGAAATGACTGAAAAAATGCTTTAAAGTCATGAATAGATATAACGTACCATGCAGCACTCAGATAATAGTATTCGGCATAAATGAATAAAAAAAAAAAATGCAAACAATGTTGAATCACTATGCATGAAAATAGTTCATAGTTTCAATACTTCATAGATACAATGGTGATGAGGGTGACAGTCTAAATCTGGCGAAAAGACAGTATTCGTGACACCGGTGGTAAAATGTGAGAATAGGTTGCACTAACCAGATTGCGCTATATTAAGCGCATATGAGTAATGAAGTCATCTGGATGTGGACATCTGGACCTGGGTGTTCTGACGAGCAGCGACAGGAATCACAGCATGTCAGCCAGGCTTCTGAATGACCGAATTCTGATTGAAGACCACCAGAGGGAGCCAGCAACCAGGATGTCATCAACCTTCTTTAAACCAGGTATCCAGAGGTATGTAATATGTTCAAAACCACCAGAGGGAGACTAAGCCTTGGAGAACATCCGACGGTTCCCTTAGGGGAAAACAGGCTCAGGAGGAAAAAGAGCCCAAGTGCAAAGGGTATCTTAGTGCAACACTGCTTTAAAAAGGTGCAAAGTAATGACAAGAATAAAACTCACATGTAATAACTAATGGCCAAAAAAGAAATCCACGTGAGCTGCCCTCAGTGACCTTTCCATCCACGTGGATTTCTTTTTTGGCCATTAGGCCACTTGCACTTATTACATGTGAGTTTTATTCTTGTCATTACTTTGCACCTTATTAAAGCAGTGTTGCACTAAGATACCCTTTGCACTTGGGCTCTTTTTCCTCCTGAGCCTGTTTTCCCCTAAGGGAACCGTCGGATGTTCTCCAAGGCTTAGTCTCCCTCTGGTGGTTTTGAACATATTACATACAGTGGGGATCGAAGGTTTGGGCACCCCAACTAAAAAATTTGTATTAATGTGCATAAAGAAGCCAAGGAAAGATGGAAAAATCTCCAAAAGGCATCAAATTACAGATTAGACATTCTTATAATATGTCAACAAAAGTTAGATTTGTCAACAAAAAAGTTAGATTTTATTTCCATCATTTACACTTTCAAAATAACAGAAAACAAAAAAATGGCGCCTGCAAAAGTTTGGGCACCCTACAGAATTTATAGCATGCACTGCCCCCTTTGCCAAGCTGAGACCTGCCAGTGTCATGGATTGTTCTCAATCATCGTCTGGGAAGAACAGGTGATGTCAATCTCAAAGGCTTTAAATACCCAGACTCATCTGACCTTGCCCCAACAATCAGCACCATGGGTTCTTCTAAGCAGTTGTCTAGAAAACAAATTAAAAATAGTTGACGCTCACAAAGCTGGAGAAGGCTATAAGAAGATAGCAAAGCGTTTTCAGATGTCAATATCCTCTGTTCGGAATGTAATTAAGAAATGGCAGTCATCAGGAACAGTGGAAGTTAAAGCAAGATCTGGAAGACCAAGAAAAATATCAGACAGAACAGCTCGCAGGATTGTGAGAAAAACAATTCAAAACCCACGTTTGACTGCACGATCCCTCCAGAAAGATCTGGCAGACACTGGAGTTGTGGTACACTATTCCACTATAAAGAGATACTTGTACAAATATGGTCTTCATGGAAGAGTCATCAGAAGAAAACCTCTTCTACGTCCTCACCACAAAAATCATCGTTTGAACTTTGCAAATGAACATATAGACAAGCCTGATGCATTTTGGAAACAAGTTCTGTGGACAGATGAGGTTAAAATTGAACTTTTTGGCCAGAATGAGCAAAGGTACGTTTGGAGAAGAAGAGGCACAGAATTTAATGAAAAGAACCTCTGTCCAACTGTTAAGCATGGGGTTGGATCAATCATGCTTTGGGGTTGTGTTGCAGCCAGTGGCACAGGGAACATCTCACGAGTAGAAGGAAAAATGGATTCAATAAAATTTCAGCAAATTTTGGATGGCAACTTGATGCCATCTGTGAAAAAGCTGAAGTTAAAGAGAGGATGGCTTCTACAAATGGATAATGATCCTAAACACACCCGAAATCCACGGGGGATTACAT